AGTTGTTGTGGTGGGGGGGGGAGGGGGAGAAGGGGGAGGGGTGCCGATGCAGCCCGCAACAACTCATCAAAACTCCCCATGTGGTCCCCAGGACCAAAGAATGGCCTACCCCTGCTCTAGAGCCTCCTAGATTATGTTTGGTTCACTCTTCTAACTTGGTGAAACACTATGTACATCTGACGATCCAAACCTCCATTTGAAGTATCATCATTTAACAATTTTTAGATGTTCATTGTGGCCACAAACACTAATTCTTTCTAGACTTATACAGGAAAAAGTAATAATACCAGACACATCAGTATTCGATCATGAAAAAAATGTTGGCTTTGACGGCAAGTAATTACATATGATAAGTTCCAAAGACTAAAGAAGCTGAAAAATGATGGATCTGAAGAAGGCAGGACCCCAGACTGTATTCTTTCAGTTAAGATTTGTAGTATACACCTGTATCATATTTGCATTTGGCATCGTGTATAAGCATTACATAAACATAATATCATCTAAATTGCATTCAGTGCAGTTGGAATACATTAAAAAATGATGGAGCAAACTAAATTATTCACCCACTCCTAATATTTACCATATAAAAGTTTCAGGATTTCTTTTAAATTGTAGTTGCGTAACTGGGATAAAAAATTAATCCATTTGTGGCATGCCTTGGAAAAAAATTAACTAGCTTTTATAAAGAAGGGCCCTGATCATTTTTATTGCCTTGTACAGTAATAACATAACCTAAAACTGCAAATTAACACATTATTGCAACAGCACACCAGTAATTTGTAGGGACTCGGAATGGTTCTATCCTTACTCTTGGATTGTTTCCAACTGCAAAACCCTTAACATTATCTGCCAATACAGAATTATATTCACAAAGTTTTACACTTAGCAAAAGACAGTATAAATCTTATATACGATTTCTCCACTGACAATTTTTTACTTACACATGAATAGCTTTGCATATTTCATCTGCTGTCTTTCCAGCTTTCCTTAAAGTGATGGCAAGATTTTTGGCCCTATTTGCATCCAATAATGTGACCTTGTTTGACCCTTTTTGAGTGATCTTTTGCTTGCTTGACGAAAGATCAATAGCTGGCCCTTGTGCTTTTGTCTTAAATATTTCTTCAAATTCATCCACATTTAAATCCTACAAAGGAAAGAACTTGTCATACAAATTTTAAAAACTGCTGATATTTTCCCAGAATTCCAAAACAATTCTTCAAAACTCAATGTATATCAGTATCAACCACACAGTATCAATATATTTGTATTCACTTTTGTAGAAAGTTATCTTCTGCAATAATGGTCCAAAATACTATAATATTAATTATCTCTAAGTGACATTACCACAGAACAGTGTACTGGGAAAGGATAATGTAGTAAGGAAGTCAGAGTTTGCTCCTGCATCATGTGACTTTCTAATATTAGACCCAAAAATAGCCACAATACTTTTTCAGGTTTTTAACCAGCTCCAGGATTATGCACCCCTCTGTCACAAGCACCATGCACTGGCTGCATGCTAAATACTACTACATGGTTGCTCAACACCTCCTGCATTAGCTTTCAGCCATCTATAATGACAAGTGGACATCAGACCTGAAGAAGACTTCCTTGTGGTGGAAATTTTGTCCATCTCTGTCCCAGCTATACAGTTGGTCCAATAAAAGATATCGCCCTAAGCAATCCTTGCCTCTTGCATAATTCCTGGGCCATCACAGCTACAACATCACTCTAACACTACAAGTGAGATTAGTTTTTTTATGTAGGGAAACTGTAGGATGACCATCTTGATTCATGTGTTTCAAGCAAAGGTGCACATTTCTAAAGTCAGTTTGGCTATTACAAAATTTTGGCTCAGATCATCAGCTGGGGGAAAAGTGTGCAACTCTGTTGATACTAATAGCATTATACTGTTTTGTACCAGCTAAGGATCTCATCTACTATTTGAGAACCATTTCCGTTACTTGGAACTGGTCCTATGAACAGCCCAAATAATAACTTCCAGGTACATTTCTTATAATGATCTATCCATGGATGTACATTCTCCTAAATTGCTCCCAGTGCTGGGAAGTCAAACAGTGCTTAGTATTCATACCTCTAGGATCCTTTCATCATCAATTTCATTGAAGACTGTCCCATTAATCTGATTGGGTTTAAGAGCTACCCAATTAAAGACTGGCATGCGGAACTTTGTCTTGATTGGCTTCTTGATCTTCACAGCTAAAGACATCAGAGAGAATGAAATTACAAATTCTAGGAGAATTGGAAAACATCTGGAGAAGTCAGACAGCAGTCTTCACAGACAGCATATCAACACTGAGGGAAGAATTGGCAAGAGCTAAATTATCCATTTAAAAAGCCTGGAAAGACCATGCTGCCTTGGCAAAGAGCAAGGAAGAATTTTTCTCCAGCCATGTAGCTGTTTTAGGTCCAATATTCCCAAAGCTGGAGGTTTTGAACATTTCAAAATATTCATTTCATAAAGCAAGTGTTGCCTTACGCCATCTGATGTAGCAGGGTCTTGCCTACCAAAGCTCATGTCTCTCTGACCCAGTTAATTTCTAAGGCAGTGATTCTGAACCACAGTATTAGCACTATTAGGTGGGCAAACACTTGCATGAGTCACAAGATAAATCCAGATATTTCAAATGGGGATCCATAGTGTTAGAAACATTCTGGCCTGTTGTGGTTTTCCTGAGTTCTTTGCAACTGAAGAATTATCCTATTATTTTTCCACAGTCTAAAAACAATTGAAAGCTGAGTGCTGGCATTTTCCAAGAGGTGCTTTGACTCTAAAAAGGCTGAGAACTACCACTCTATGGTGCCACCCTGCTCTACCTTCTGCCTGACTCTAGGTTAACAAAGTTAACCATCTTTGTTACTCCAAAACAGTGTGTGTTCTTAATAATTTCTGGAGCGATTTAAAAAACAACGCTATTTTGAACTCCTCCAGAAAGTGGATAAAATGGTGTGTGGCCTTTGTTTTTTTCTGCAGCCGCATTTCCAAACTTACCTTGGGACCAGATCATATAGGGCAACCTGTTGTTATTAATGGGTGCTGAGTGAATCAATACCTTCAAGTACTGGGTTGCTGCTGGATTATACTACTCATTCCCAACCACCAAATTTTTAACAGTAGTGCCTCAGATACAGATAAAGCTGACCCTGATTAGATCCAGGATTTTTAAAAGGGGAATTAGGGAGCAGCCCCCTATCCTGCATGAGTGGCTTCACCCTCTGCTCCCAGCTCTCTCCCCTACAACACTGGTCAGGAATACCCCTTTCTTACCCTGTGCTCAGAGACATGCCCCCCTCTCCCACCTGCTGCTGCCACTGTCCCAGGGACAGAAGGGTTGGGAAGAGACTCCAGAGCCACTCCCGCCCTGCTCCAGACAGGCTGCATGGAGAGCTAGACTCAGCAGGAGACAGCAGCGGCAGGCAAGTTCTCTATACCATGCCTGCTCCCAGGATAGCAGGGAACACCTGGGGAGACCAAGCAAGGAGAAGGAACCCACCATCTGCTACTGCTGCTCCCCCTAGCTGGCCTGGTGCCCCACAGACACCAAGGTGGGAGTGGCTGGGGAGCCGCCCTGCCCCTGGGTCCGCAGGGACCACAGGGATAGAAGCAGTGGTGGGTGGTAGGGGCAGAAATGGGAGAGGATGGGATATGCCACAGAGGGGAAATGGAGGAGGAGGGGCACTAAAAAACAATGTCACCAACTACTGCTCCTGCAGCACAGACTGAAAGGATTGTGTGATGGTGCCACTGCACTGTCTCTAGTTCCACCCCTGAGGCTGACATCAAGGCAGCAGTGTTATGACAGTTCCTTTTAACAAACCTAGTGGTCCTAGCTTAACACTTTAATCAGGGGGAGGAAAGTGAGGGAGATGGCTGTGGCTGAGGATTTATCCAGAATTGGGTCTCTCTTTCCTGAATAGATTCAAACAATGACAAGATAACAAAAAGAGAAACCCTTTTACGACACAGTTACAAGAAAACAGAGACTTCTGTTGCCTGGGGTGAAAAGAATCTGATGTTTCACCCCAGCCTGAGCTTGTTTGTATTTTTAAAAAAACAGGGGTTGGTTCCCAATTTTAGTATAATTACATACTGGGATAGTAAATGGTTTTTACTTTTCTGACTGTGCAGCACCACTAAGTCTCAAAATAATTTTGAATGGACACCACTTGGGGATGGAGACTAACTCTTTTAGCCAATGAGCAGAGAACAACAGCTAGGCAAAATGATTTAAAGCTGGATGTGGGAAAAATGCAGATTAATTGCTGGGAAAATCTTTAAACCTAAGAACATTAGACAATGGAATAAGCTGCTGAGGAAATTTGTGGAGCTTCCATCACTGGAGATCTCAGGCATCTAAGGAAACTGGTTTTAAAGAGGGGACCCAGAATAGTTTAAGAGAAGACAGTGCCCCAAAATCAGAAATGCACCAGTGCTCCGAAATGCACCAGTGCTCCTAAGTGACAAAGGACTTTGAATTGTGCTTGAAATTTATGTACATTTAATGGTCCTGGCAGTTACTAGAACATTGTAAAAGGAAGATTTCTCCATTAATGTGGTTAAATTATTTCAAAATCTGCTGTGTCAAGAGTAGAAATAGTCAAAGAGAGAGAAGCCTTGCTGCTCCTTTCCCCAGTGCAGGAAAAAACAACAACATTCAAACTGTAAGACTTTTGTCTAGTCAATCACAACAAAGGCATGCAGATAATGTAGCAACATTGGTCCACAAGGCTCGCAGCTGTAGGCAGTACCCAATACTTCCACGAATAGGTGGGTTCAAGCCATAAAATTCTAATCCAGATCCAAACTTTTGCACACTTCATATACCAACTTTTGTTCTGAACTCATCTCTTCTTCCAGGAAAGAAGTGCCTCTCCATCTCTACTCAGACCATAATGCACTCTGCCAATGGTGCAATGCTACGTATGTATGGTAGACTTCATCCCAATCCCCCCAAGGAGCAGCTATGATGTCCCAAAGTGATTTGCCTCCCTTCAGTACTTTTCCATGCATTGTTTTCCCCAAAATACTCTTCTCTCCTGCATTAGAGCTGGGCGAATGCTGAAAAACTATTCTCTTAATCAAATCATTGCCTCTCATACAATTTTTCACAAGAATCCACTTTGTGCCCATGCCCTTTTTGTGTTCACTTTTTAGGCACATTTTAAATGAACAAATGACTGACAAGAATATTTGCTGAAACAATTAATTTTCCATAATATTGGGAACCTTCACAGTATTACATTTCTAATGTATGTATTCACACAAGGAATCTGAGTACAGGTGTTATATTTATCCAGTCAGGAAGCAGAAACACATTAGGTGATCTGTGCATAAATCAAAGGTAGCCAATTGAGTCTGACTAATAAATCAATTGAAATGCTTGTGCACACATAAGAATTACTCAATGAAAAATTCATAATAATGAGTAAATCAAAATACTGGCTAAATTATAATCTGCTCCTTTGCAAATTAAGAACAGAAAAATATTCATCATAAATTCCTTGCCCAGTTCTAAGAGCAACTATACTAAGAGATGTACAGAAAAATGTTTAAATAGGGATCTTATTCTTTCCTTGAGGAATAAATGCCATCAATGTAAACAACAATCATGCATACACACTAGGGCCTTGATTTTACACATACTGAAGCCACTGACAATAGGTCCCAAGTGGGAATAAACTCCACAGATAAACTTTGTAGTGGCTGGTCCCAATTCAGCTCATCACTCGTGCACAGGATTTAATTCCAACCCCATTCTGCAAAAACCTGTGTTTAATTGCAGGAATGCATTCTCTGTCATTTAAGTCGATGACCAAAATTCAAATTAAATCAATGGGAGTTAAGGACCTGCTTACATGCTTTGCTGAACTGGGACCTTGGTGCTGAGAAAACTTCTAGTTGACAACATTCACAAAGTTAGCTAATGGATCATGCTACTCAATCTTCACATCTGTTTTAAACATGGTTTACACCATACTGATATTTTCAGCCAATTAACAAGCAGCTCAGACTTTAAAAACAAAGGAAAAATGAAGCATGCTCAACATGAAAACAACACATCAAAAGAAATGGACACACAGCACAAAAGGGAAAGGGAAATAAATACTTAGAAGCAAGAAGGAACCTACAGAAAAGCTTGATTGGCCCGTCTTACCCGGAAGCAGAAAGAATAAAGAAAAAAATAGCGATGGTTAGCATAGCAAAATTCATCACTTCCTAAAATCCTAATACATTATGCTAACACTGTCACAGGGAAAAATGCTCCCTGTTCTGGAGACATCAGGATCTGCTCAGTTATTCCCTTATGTGCAAATATTAGTGAAAAGGTCATTTTCCTAGCTTGGCCCAAAAATGCTGCAGAAACATGCAGAAAAATGCTGCAGTAAGCTGCTGTGTTTGAGGCTCTGCTGCTGGATCTTGCCATTTCCTTTATACACAAGGGGTAAGGCTCCACTGAGGATTTTTTACCAGTGGAAATATTATGCCACATTAGAATACAAAGTGAAAGAAGGAATGATATGGTAGCAGATAGCTGCCTACTTTACAGGTCAGGTTACTGCAGATTCAAGTGGAATGTGCATTAAATCATATGACGGATGGCACCAGTGTCCATTTTAGGGGCTGTCTAAATCCACTGCATGTTATTTTCCTTAACAAGACATGCAGACAGACAGGCCACCCAGCCACATCAGCACTCAATTTATTTACTCACTTGCAAATGCTGTAAGTAAATCCTAGCTATTGGGACAGAAAATGACTTAGCTGTTTAGCTTCCTGTGGTTCCACATACTCAGCAACTGCTCCAGGATTCGAACACAGCATTCTTAATCAAAAAAGCATTTTAAATCCAGTCATGAAAATCTCCCAACCTTATAACAGGAATTGGCGCTGAATGCCTGAGAATTGCAAAGGTGTAATCTTTTCTTCTCATTAATGACCCTGGTTCAGAGAACTGAATGGATTTTAATGGCCTACGTTGCAGCATGATGTATATTCCTCCCAATCACTTCTGACTCAAAGAAAATTGTATTAATCGTTCCAAGAAAATATGCCATAATGGAGAACAGCCTGACTGAGCACCAGATTTTCAGGAAGGTCCATGACAAATGACAACAGTCAAGAAAGGATAGAGAAGAGGTCAGCCAGGAAGACAAGCTGACACTGTGACAAGCTTCCAGATCCTGAAATCAGAGTCCCCTCCTCTGCCAAACACGCTCCTTGAATTTGAATGTTGGACCCATTTCAGGAAAAGGAAGGTGAAGAGAAGCAGAGAGCACTGAGGCTTACACTTTGCTAGTCCAAGAAGATGTGGTGCCAAGTGAATATTACAACAGCACACATGCCTTGAAAACTGCGTGCTATTTTTAAAAACCTGTCAGGAAAAGCTTAATCAGTCACCTCAACAATACATGCATTTGTTTGGGGTTTTTTTAACACATTCCATTACGCTCTAGTTCTGTGCGGTCTCTGCTTTTCAGAATTTTCCTCCACCAGAGGAAGGTTAAGATTTAACAGCTGGAGCAATTTGTTTTAAAAACAGCTATTAATCTGAACTCCTCAGCCTCTCTTACTGGGCTTACAGTGTGTTCCCCTGATTTCTTGTAAGATGAATTTTGTAGACATGAAGCAGTACATTAAATTAATATAATTAGAACTGGTTTGGAAATTGCATTTCCCCCCTACCCCATCACACAAAAATACAACAAACCCAAAACTTTCCATTTTTGACAAAGAAATTCTTGAAAAACCTAAAGAGCTGAATAAATGTCAAGAACCCAAAACTATGCATTTTTTTGTTTCAAGCCAAAAAATCTGAGGCTTGAAGAAAGACTGAAACTATTCTTATCAAAACAAACATTTGTGTAACATTTTCTGTTTTACCAAAACAGCCAAAGCAAAATGTTTCAGTGGTACACTTAGAGCAAGCTCAAATCTTAACAAGAGGAAGAGACGAGAAGGAGAATGCTTCCTAGCGTTCCCCAGTAATTAATAAATTGCTTGTCCCAGGTGGAATCAGCCCCGACAGTCCCCCTTAGTGATCTAATCATGGAGTTCCATCATCTTTTCTTTAATTGACTAACTGTTAAAAGGTCACTCCCTGATGGAGTCCCTGAGCTTTTTATTTAATTAGTTTCATAAGAAACCCGCAGAGCACTGGTGTGAAGCACCCCCATCCAGATGACAATTTTACCTGCTAATCCTGAGTTGAAAACCACCGTGGGGGAAGCTGTTCCTGGCAGAGGGGGTGCCGATGGTGGAGGTGGGGGTGGAAGCGGAGGAGCTGGCACTGTTTCTGCTGCTGGACCAGGAAGAGGAGGCGGTGGAGGTGGAGGTGGAGGTGGGGGTGGAGGTGGTGGGGGAGGAGGAGGTGGCATAGGTGCTGTCACAGGACCATTTTGTACTACAAAATGAAGGGGAAAATAAATGATACCTCTTAAAGTATTGTATCAAAACAAACCAAATGCCACAAATGAATGACCTCAGAGAAACTTAATAGCCATAACAGATTAATGTCTCTGGGACAGACTCCCAGCTTGTTTAAACTGATGCAGCTTCACAGACTATAGCAGATCCATGCTGCTTTGAACCATGGATCTTCTATTTCAAATAGTCTGCACACATGGCTGCTTTACCTACCAGTGCACATTCCATTAAAAAGAATGCAGTGAAAATACCTGCTGTGACTCACATTTACCATATTTTGTGTGTTTGGGTTAGTCCATTCAGCCACATATTAAGTTGGATCCAACAATATCTACCAGCATCACTGACCAGATTGATTTTCTAGTAATGAGCTATTTTTCACCTTCATTGGAGTTAATATCAGTGTAAAATCATTGTGTGTGAAATCAGACATGATGGGATTTAGCATTACCTCCTACCAAGAGTATTCCTACCACTATATCCATAATATTCTCACCTGCATCAGATGCTGATGGTAACAGTGGTGGAGGCGGTGGCAATGGTACTGAGGATGTAGCCCCAGTAATTGGTCCCATGCAAGTGCCAGCTGTAGCTTCTGACCCTGGTGGTAATGTTCCAGAAGCCACCGCAACAGGAAGAATAGAGATGTCACCATCACCTTTCTTCTGAATTTTAATGGTCCCTTGCTTCTCCAGTTCATGGATTTTTTTCTCCAGGGTTGACTGCCGCTGGATGGCTTCTTCCTTTTCTTTGACCATTTTTCTCAATGTATGAACCTGGGTATTTGCATCTTTGTAAATTTCCTGCAAAGGAGCCCAGAATAAAGAATGTATCTGCATTCAAATAATAATATTGCAATATCAGACTCAGAAGAACAGGATGGCACTGGTTTGCATACTGAGCTAAGTTATTGCCAAGCTGCATATTTTGATATGAATAATCATTGTTTGTCCTGAAGTTCTTTTTGCAGGTTTTCATATGCTGTAACTAAGAATGAGTTCATTATTGATCTGTATAAAGTATCATAAATTCTAGGCATCAGAATGCTACTAGAACTGAATTTGTAGACATTGCTGTTAAAATATTTCCAATGTGTATTAGTGGGGTGGTAGATGTGGTGATCAGCAACAGAAAGGTGAGCCAGGGCAGATACGGCCCCTGTCATCCTCCAGCTGCTTTTCTTGTTGCTACTGCCATGGCCCTATCTCCTTGACCACCGATCTCACTATTACCCCATGCTAGAGCCACTGTTACCACATGCCCTGTGCCACAGCTAAACCTACCATCCCTGTATGAGGCACCCAGTGGTGGCCAGAGCTGCACCACATACCATATTCAGTTCATGTTAGAACTGAAGCTGCTGCCACATGCTCTGGATTGGAGCCAGAGCTGCCGTCACTGCACACAGCAAATACCAGGAGCCGGAGCTGCACCACATGTCCTGGGTTGGAGCCACAGCTGCTGCCACATGTCCCAGGTGGGAACCACACTGTGCCCCAGACTGGATCTACCCCGCAAAGAGCCTCACGGTCCAGGTCCAGCCTGGGGTGCAAGGCAAGTCTGAGACCTCCGCTCTACCCCAATGATATTCCAATTGTGTTCGTTGGAACCAACAGACTTAAAACAAAAGAAAAGTAAAGACACTAAAACACTTAAAAGCTTTAAATACAAGACAAATATCTAGTAGAAATTAAAACATTTAACAGTTTGTGGTGTAAGCTGCTTCTTCCCATTTCCCTCATAAGGCCTTTTCAACTCAGTGTGGAAGTGGCTCGTTCCCTAGGTACACAATCCTCTCAATGAGATCTATGCATGGACAGTCCTGGAAAAGAGCTGACAATGATAGATGGTGCAGATACAGCTATAGATACATATTATGAAGGAAGAAAGTCTTGTTATCTGAACAGGCTGATAGTGTTTGCCTGAACCAGCCCTGCTTGTTAGCTGGTTTTCCTCTTACTGGACAAAGGTTATGAATAAAGCAAGGTCTGGTGAGTTGCTGAAATAGGAAGCAGATTACTTGCTGTGATACTGGGAAGTGCTAATTGCTCTCTAGAGAGAGACAATCTTGTAGGAAGGCTCAGCCATCTAGAAGTAGGAAATCTAAGAGCAGCCGTATCTGAACAGAAGATCTAGGCTGAAGCTTATAACATATAGTTTACAAACTAGTCAGAGGGGACCAGCAGGCACTGGGAAAGTCTCTGTTCCCCTGAGCACTACCAGGAGTGACCAGGAATAACGGTCACAAGCTGGCAGGGGGTAGATTTAAGCTAGCTATCAGGAGGCACTACTTCACGGTCAGGGCGGCTAGGATCTGGAACCAACTTCCAAGAGAAGTGGTGCTGGCTCCTACCCTGGGGGTCTTTAAGAGGAGGCTAGACATACACCTTGCTGGGGTCATTTGACCCCAGTACTCTTTCCTGCCATGGCAGGGGGTTGGACTCGATGATGTGCTCAGGTCCCTTCCGACCCTAGAAACTATGAAACTATAACATTTCTGTTGATCAAACCATACCCCAGGAAGGGATAGAATTTGGACTCTACAGAGGAAGTGGATGGTTTGACAGCACAGACATGACACCTGCTCACACATCTCTTTGCTATGCAGCCAGATGTTAAAAGCCTTTAATTTGGCCTCTTAATTTTCACCCACAATCAACTGCATTTGCCAACCTGAAGGCAGAATGAATTGCAGTCACAGAAGGTAAGTCTGATTTCAGTTTGACTGGGTGGCATAATCAGAAAATTAAATACTATATTCAACCTTGGTGTCTGTGTCCACAAGTAATTCCACCTAATCTGCTTTCAGTGTAAAGACATAGGTCATTCAAAACAGTCAAGTTCAGAACATTGCAACATTAAGTGCCATGGCTCTCTGTCCTGCTCCCATTTCAAATGGTGCTTTCCACACTAAGCACAAAACAAACTGGAGAGCTTTCTCCTAAATGCTGCATTCAGCTGGAATGCCATCATCACACTTACTCGAACTACGTCCAGTTCTTTGTTTCTTTGCATAAGCTGTTTTTCCAGTTCCACAATCTTTGCCATAGCTTCATTCTCTGTGTCTTGTAGTTTTTCCGATAACTGTTATTTAAGAGAGAGAGATGGTGACTGATTTCCCCACCCAAAAGCATCAGTAACATTAACTAGGAAAGTGGTACTTGCTAAGCTACTGATAATGGATCAAAGCCTGAAATCCTAATGTAAAGCTCCCATAGAGTCAGTGGAAATTTTGACTGAGGAAGGATTTCAGTACACGGCCCATGAGTATTTAGGTCCAAGGCATGAAATGTTTTGAAGGCGCTGGTAAATATGACCACCATTTGTTGTCAGCAGCCAGCTGAATGGCACAGGAACTATGAATTTGCCCAGCAGAGTAGCCTAAAAAGAAATCCAGGCTTCCAGACCACTTTAAATTAAAGCAGCTAGGGAATGGTCAGTTTGATTGGAAAGTCACCAAAAGACAATAACCCAGGAGCCCCATAATGCCATTTCTGAAAATTCACTTGCATACTAGAATCAACACCATGGGAGATTCAGAAGCAGCAGGGTCTGCATCTTGTCTTTCAATGATTTCCAAATCAAGTGCAGTCATTTCACAACTAAGAAGTAGGGATTTTTATTTCACTAATTTGCCAGCTCTATATACTTAACCTGGGATCTGAAATCACACTATTTTGTTGATTTAGCCCATCAATACCCATGATTTTGATGCAGCTGAGGTCTGATATAGGTGTTACTTTGCAACTGATTTCTATGCATCACACACTAGTAATGATTCTGCAATTGGAACATAATTAACATTTCCATTAAAAGCATGAACTTGATAGAGTACCACGTAGGTAAACATTTTGTTTAATGATATTAGGGGGAAAAAAAGTGTTAAAAACGTTTTTGTTAGGAAGTAAGCAATTAGGGACCTATTAAGCAAGAACTTATCATTAGTACCAAGTCACTGTTCGGAGCCAAACAGCACTTTACAGGACAGAGTGTATAGTCAGTTCTAACCACCTTTGAGAAAGAATGCATTTGTTCTAAGCCCATGCTTAACATCTGCAATAAAATTCCTTCAGGAATGAAGGAAAAAACTGACCTTTTTACTTATTTTTTTAAGTAGGGAAAACACTTTTATTTTAAAACAGCAAAGTCATTTTTCTAGACTAAAATAATTGATAAAAAAGTATGGGATGGAAATGCTACAAGCAAACAGTGCATATCAAAACAGTGCTATTTTTCAGTCCTCGTTACTGAATCTTTACCACTAGAGACTCCGGCTATTTGTTTCAAAAAGTCTAAATGCATATCTGTTCTTTATCCACCCTCTTGCAGCATCAGCCACAATCCTGTTATTCAGGGATTTAAAATGATCCCAAATGCAGCAGGCCAGGCTTCCTCAGCCTGTTTTTGCTTTACACATTCTTAGCGTAAGTGTTGGAAAACATACTAAATTCCAGCAGTACTTTTATGGTATGGAATGTTTATCTACTCTATTTGTACTGTATTGCTATGGAATTTGCAATCTATATGTAAATTAGCTTTTCTATAACTCTTCATGGACTCAGAGTGGCAAATGATTCCATCTGGAGCTGGAATTCAACTGGAGTTAAAAACTCCTGAGCTCTTTAAATCCATAAGCTCCGACCTATAAAGCTACGACTGTATGTAGCGCTTGATCCATGGTGGGTTCTCCTGTGAGGACACCAAAAACTACATGCACAGGGTGTAGAGGCAATAAATTCAAGTCCCCCCAGACTGAAACAGATTATAATTTAGGTTATAAACAGTTTTCCCTATCACCAGAGTGCTTAGGTTCCATATATATGCCCTGCCTATGACTTCCTGATCAAATTACTATGTAAGACCTCAGCCAAAGCATCCCCACAATTCTGCACTGTGTAAATAATACTTAAATGGAAGGATTATTCAAGATGAAGTGAGCTATATCCACATGCTGGGAAGGAGAGATGATCTTCTGATTAACAAGGAAGATCTGGGCTCAATTTCCAGATGCACTGGAAAAGAATCACTGTCGCATTGACCAAATTTATACCACCACGGTCAAACAAGCCATGATGACCAATTACACAAAAGGACACAAGGAAACATTTTCTCACAGAGTCTACTAGAGGCTTAAAGGACAAAAAATATACCTACGAATGCCCTACTATTGGCCAATGAGTGCAGCACACAAGGACTAAAAATACATTTTTGCTTGTCTTGTGTTTCACTAAAAGCTTCTTAGGCATCAATGAAACCACATGGATACTATTATTAAGAAGTAGCCTTACAGACAAATGCTGTCATTTCACTGCTGGTACGAAGGACTCTGAACTGAATTCCAAGTCAATTCCAGGTTCTAAAAAGCAGCAGCCGCCTCTACCATAGTCCTACTGACTCCAGGTTGGAAGCATCCCTCCAAGAAATACAGGAGAGACTTTTTTTTTTTTCTTTTACAAATGAAGGAAACAAAAATTTCTTCATTTCTTTAACAGAGGAAATGCCACACATAACAGCACCTAGAGCTCCATAACTCCCTAACAAATGTCCATGAGAGAAACCATCCCTGAGACATCTCTTCCTGACATTTGCCATGACTTATTTAGGTTTCAGTGCCAAAAACCTGCTTATTTTCTTATCAGAAGCAGCCTCAGTGCATAAATGGCGTCTCTCAGGGAAAGGCTCCTTACTCTCCGAAGGTCTACCTCTGGCTATGTTTCCTCTTAACCCTAGCAACATCATTTAACAGTGAATGTGGAAGCTGAGATAGCAGACTCTTAATGACATTGAATGGCAAAGTTAATGTCAGCTTTGTACTAACATGAGAAATATTTTCTTCCAGTTCTTCAACCCTTTCCAAAGCTGCATTCTTGGTTTCAGCATCTTCAAGCAAAGCTCCAACATCAAACACATTGTCCAAGTAAGCTTGAATCTGCACCTGTAGTTTGTCACTCTCTGTGTGTTTCAGCTTCTGAAAGTCCAAAGCACAAGTATCATTAATACATTCAGCAGCAGGCAATAACCAGGCCACCCAGATAGAAAGGTTGCAGGAGTGTCGCAATCAGGTTAGGCCATTTTCATATTTCAGCAAATTGCTGAACATTTGTAACCTCCCAAAGGATCAGAAATAATAAACAGTAAACTGTGAGGAGGCCCCAAATGTTCTGAACTTAAAAAATAAAGCAAGGCAGTATTTTTTTCTGCATCAACATTAGCATGTTCTTCAGCGTCCTCTGTTACAAACCTTAATGGACTCTAACAGCACACAGACAATCAGAAGGTAAAGGTTCACTGATGCGCCACGTAGATCTGTGACAAACATCAGATTGGTCTTAAGAACTGGATCAGCTTGGGGATGGCATGGACCTGAGCCACAGCACTGCAGTGGGAAGCTCTCGGGGAGGGTAGGTCATGATCCAGGAGACAAAATACCTACTTTCTGCACCTCTCCAGCATGCAGCAGAGATACCCATCTTGCCAGCTAGAGAGTGGGGCTCTGATGCCTGCCTTACGTGCCTGGGGTGGCTACTGCCCCAAGAGGCAGCAGTCCCTGCATGCAGGTATAAAAAAAAAAGGGGGTAACTGCCTGACACGTGAAAAGTTCCCCGTGCCTTACCATCCTTGTGCACATGCAGAAACTCTGTCATTTCCCCTTGATGAGCCTATATCACTGGGGTTGATTGTAAACAAGTTGGGAAGTGATTATAATGAAATCTTCTTTCAGATAAGCAACAGTTTTTGTGCCAATGCAACAGCCCTAATGCAGAAAGCACTCATTGTCACTGAGTCTAAATATTCTGAGCAGAAAGCAAAAAGTAGCTTTGTCTCTACTGCCACAGAGCAAAGCCAAAAGCCAGCAGGAACAGATGAGCGCCTAAACAGCAAAAATACTGTTTTCATGTAAATGTTCCTAATAATAAAACACCAGGAGAGAGAAATACCAGAGGGGAAAAATGTGATATAAAAGCAAAAATTCCTTTAAATAGCACATTCTCCAGAAGGTGCCAGCAAATTTCTAACAGTCAGGAAATGCTAGTCAATGCTCCATAGGGAAGCAGAGTGTGTTTAATTTCCCTTGGTAGGAAACCAGCACCATAACCATTCTTCACTTGAAGATGCACCATCCTACACAGACTTTACTCAACAAACGCTCCTCAGATTCAGCAAGGGACTTCAAATCACAGGCCGGTATTTTTACAGTATTGGATCTCACTGAATAGTCTCCAATACTGGAAGTGACAAACTCACTCACTATCATTCATGATCATCTGGCCTATTACTCCCACCTGTGAACCTCAACTTTTGAGCAAACTCCAAAGATGTGACTACTCTCAAGTAGAGGGTTAAATTTCCCCTGGGGAGATACAAGTTGACAGAGACAATCAGTACATTTTTGGCACAAAATGCATCAGATTCCAAATCTTGTTACTCCTCAAACCTCTCCTAGTTCAACGAATTTCAGCGCAGTCAGTGGATCCATATCTATTATTCTTCCCAATATCCCTTTTATTAATTTCAAATATGACCCTCCCACATGCTGCACTTAGCATGGAGTTCTGTGTATGTACACAGATAAGAGGATGCCTTTTTCTTGTAGGTAAAAAAATGTATATACTCCTAAATGCTCAGGGTCAACTCCTAAAGAAGAGACATGCTAAACAGACCAATAGGGTTAGACAGACTTAATGACTCTTTCAGCATGTGCATTACAGTATCAGGTACAAAAACATAACAAACAAGAAGGGTATAAAATAGTAAAAGGAAGACTGAACAAAGTCGGGAAGACAGTTCTGTTCACAACAGACTTCAAGTTTCCAAGCTGCCCACTGAAATTGCTTCTTTGTCCTTTCAAGTTTTCATTTTTTTCAAAATGATCATTTATACATGTTGCCTTGCCAGAATCATGGTTGGATTCCTGCAGCCCACAGCAGAGAGTGTTTCACTCCTGGAAAACTCCCCTGACTGAACACAATGGTCAGGACTGAACAAAGGTCTCAGAAGCTGACACGGCTGCATTACTGGACCTACTCACCGCTGTGAGGTTGCTGGTAGAAAACAGATTTAGCTGCCAAAATGTCTGAAATAAATCCAGCCTTCTCAGCTGAGAGGCTGTTTTACCAGAGATGCATGGGGCATATGGATTCTGGTTCCGGCTCCTTGGAACAAAGGCCATTAAGCTTGGAGAATGAAACCCATGTAGACTATGGGTTTCATTCACCTTGACTGGAACAGAAACTGGTTGCATATTTTAGTTATAAGACAATACAAAGCAAAGGACACATTCTCTCCAACTCAATAACTCCAACCTGGAGCAGGGTTTCAGCATCAGAAAGTCCACCAAGGAGATTGTAGCAGCAGAAGATACTTGGAATCTAACCTTTACCAAGCAGTCACCACAGCTCCAAAGTTGTGGCAAAGTGATAGTCAGCTAAGGCAGGAGAGAAGACCTAATATAATGAATCCCTCCTAGAGCTTTTGTTGCTGTGGTTTCAATGGGACCCCAATAATGGAGGTGAAACCTTTGAGATGGACTGGCCTTTGCAGATAGACAGAGAGATAATTTGCAACCTTCAGCATCAACCTTTCTGCAACTAACCCCCAGCAGTCACTCAAAGCACAAAGAAAACCAGGCAAGCTGCTAGCACTGTGCAAATATGGTTAAGTGTGATAAAACCAATCAATTCCAGAAAATGTAATACTGGGCCATACTCACGTCCAAATATTCATCCAGGCCTAATTTGGTAAATTCATACTGGAGATGAACTCGGAAATTCATGTCCTCTACTGAGTGGACAACAATGTTGATGAACTGCATACATGCCACCTGTAGGGAACAATCACCACAGAATGAACATTTAACAAAAAGCAGCAGAGCAGCCTTTTCCATAGAAGAGCAGAACTGACCATGCTGCACTAGAGCACTTCAGAACTAACACCTAGCTTTTGGGAAAAGCTGAGGCTTCAGAGAGAGAAGGAAATGGGCTGATGATGTACCTGGTCAAGTGAATAGTAGGCAATGTGTACACTGGCAGGAGGGGTTTGTAAGTATGAGAGTTTTGGTCTGATCCAATATCTAGTGGGGATATTGGATCAATTTCAGCAGGACTTGATTAAGAACTTCCATTTCAACCAGGATTTCTACAGACACTATGACAGTTCAATGCTATATTTATTAGAAATAGAAACTCTGGTTTGCATCTGTGAGCCAGCTTTTTTCTTTGCTTGTTTAAAATCAAGGATCATGGCTTACAAGGTGTTTGTTTATCCTGACGGATGAAAAAGTGGAATTCCAAAACTTTAGTAATGTTTGAGGCGTCTGGTTTGGTTTTAACATACCCTCGACATTGTTTGCAGAAATAACATGATCTCCATTTCAAAATTTCAGTCTTATAATGCAAGTAATGTCATTAGCTGTTGAGAAGAAAACAATGTTATTTTTTCAAATGAAAGCCTCTGGTCTTCTCTGTACTAGTGATAGGCATATTATTTTGTTACCTGCAAGCTCTGTTACATTGGAAAACAGGATTGGACCTTTGAAATGAAAGAAGAAATCCATTCATTTGGGACAAGTTTTAAATAAAAGATTTCTCAACTGAATATGAATACAGATCATGACGTTTAATGTACAAACACCATTACAACTAAAGAAACAAAAACACACAAGGAAGGTGGTCACAGAACTGTCACTCCAGAGGTTTATAATTAGTAAGATGGGATAGTCATGATGAGGCCAAAGGTAGAAAGCTAAGCTACAAAAGGTCCAGTGTGATGCTATGTCTCCTACATAATTCTTCCTGTTCCTCTCATACCGCTCAGCCAAATTCTGCTCTGGGTAACTTTCAAACTTTCTATTTAATTCAACATGAGTTGAAAATATCTATCCAAAGACAGAATTTGTCACCTCTTCTTAAGTAACTTCTTAAAAGTAACCTCAAACTATAAAATTGAGTATCAGCGTGTTTGAGGGATTTTCCAGTTAATAGGCTACCATATCAATCTTTTCAGATGCACAGACATTGCAGTATAAATAAAATTATATGTTTATGTTTCAATAGACTGGATCAATATCTTTAGAAGTAATATTAAAGAAGATAAAACCCATTTAGCATGATTTTACATTCAAACACAGGTCTCAAAGATATTCAATTTTGACCAATAATAACTTAAGAGGAAGAAGTAAGCAAATCTTAGGACTCTTCTCTGGATTGCTGCTTGCCAGAACAAAGAGGACTCTTGCCTACTCGCTGGTTTTGGTAAGACAATGCTTCAGAAGATCAAAGGGTAGCTATACAACATCAGAGGGACAAGGCAAAATTCATTAATCAAAAGTTTAGTTAAAAATAGATTTTATTTTAAATGATTATATCTACATCTCTATCCATAGTGAATGTCCTAAGAAAGCTTTAAATATTCTGCTTCTGAAAAATGTTGTTTAGATCAGTTGTGCTCAGCCTCCAGCCTACAGGCCAGACCTGACTTATAGGCCCACATTATCTGGCCTCCAGGGCTCTAGGAAATTTGGTGGCAGGAGAGCAGTGGCAGCATTAATTGCCACTCCTCCACTGCCAAATTTCCAAACCCGCAACAAGCCCTGTGGGCTGGATAACATGGACCTGCAAGCTGGATTGGGCTAATGTACTGGGTCATTCTGGCACATGGCCAGACACAAGTGCGCAGGGTTAGACCAGTATACTGGATCACACCTGAGGACTAACAACCCCCATGCAAGATCTGGCCTATGGAGCAACCCTATGCCATTCATCCAGCCTTGTGGTTGGAAGGCTGGTCATCACTGGTGCAGATCCTCAACAATACAAATAGAGTTGCCTGCTTGAGAGTAGAGATAAACTTGGAGGAATAGAGAGTTTAAAGACCTCTCACTTCTAGGAAGTGGGAAGAACTGAAATTTAGTTCAATTTTTTTAGCACGGACTCATTTCAAAGTGTGAAGAGCCCCTTTAACCTGGACAGAATTCAAACTTTACTGTGTAAATCTTTACACTGCAATAACTTATTGTAAAATTACAATGCCAGTGTCAGTACCAGGCTGTAACAGGGGACCTTGTCCTGTTACTAGAGAATGAGGGAAAGAGTAAAGCAATGGAAACTGTGCCTTTGGTGAACTGCTATGAGGCCAGAAGAGGTGGGCTTTGGGGATATAAACCCAGCTCCAGAATCAGAGGGAGTCACAGTCTGACCCCAGGCACAGTTAAAGGCAGAAGTTCCCTACTGGGACGTGATGGAAGCAGTACTAGGAACTGGAAACTGCAAATAAGCCCAGAAAAGCTGTGGGAGGGAAAAACAGCAGTTTGAGGTGGAAGCCAGAGAGGAGAAAGGGAAAAAGCAGACTTTCTGGACTGTTTGCAGGGCAGCAGAGCCTACCAGGATGGATTATAGGAGTGGGACATGGCAGGAATTCTAAAATGCGAAAGGGAGATGTAATGTCAAGCTAACCAGGACAACTATTCTGGGGATAATTCACCCAGTGAACTGCCAATTGGGGCCAGATAGCCTGTGGGACCATAGGGGATCGGGCAAAAGTGACCCAGAGCTGTGCATTTAGAGGCACTTAAGGTGCCTCTAGTCTCCTAACACCTCCTACAGGACTGAAGGCCTATTCCCTAATTTCAGTACCATCAAGCTGTGGTAGGTGAGAGATGGATAGGCACTTTAGAACATGGGGAGGGCCAACAAGCCAGGATTGACTGTCAGGGGACAGTAGACCATGTGACACTGGATGGTTACACAGCCTTATACTGCCAAACACTGCAGGCGACCCTGACGGACAGTTCAGTGCAGGGCCAAATTCTTTCATTTTAAAAGAACCTCTGTTCTACTCTCTCACTTTGATTTAATGAGTCTTGCAGTATCAGGGCCAAATTATATATTCTTTTCTCAGACCGTGATCCTGCAAACACATACACACAAGATGAAAGGATTTACCAGAGGAACATAATCAAAGGTATGACTCTAACAATCATACGGCTCTCCAAGCAGGGATCTGCAGCCAGAATCATGTAGTCTAGCCTGCCTGGATAAATTCAGGATTCACTAAGCTACTGGCCACGAGAGCAGTAACTGAAATACTTTATTTCACTACTCTTTCCTCTTACTTGGCTCCCTTCCATTTCAAGATATTTCACAAAAAAATCCATTTTTTGTTGTCTTCTGTTAATGTCAAGCTGAAGACCAGGTGCTACAGAAATGTGTATGTTCAGTTATTGTAACTATTTGAATTACTCCATTGCAGCATTCTGGAGCCTTGACTCCAGAATCCATTTTCACTCATCCTGCCATGAGCGATTTCTATTTTGTTAATGAACTTTTGGCAAATGTTATAAACTCAAATATCTGCACAGTGCAGGTGATTCAGTAATCCACTATGCAAGAACTCTTAAGCTCTACCCCCTGGAGTTATTTGTTATATAGTGTTTGTAACAGCATGTGGATCTACTTAGAACCAGATGGTAACAGATCTGGCCTGTCAGATCAGTTTGTCATTAATCTTCTATTTCTGTTGCAGACCTGCCACATATTTAATCAAAAATCAGAAAGTGGAAACAGCCCAATGTTACAGTTTTTACAAGCCATGGGCCACCTCCTGAAGTCCTTATCCAGAGCCAGATTGTGGCCTTTGAAGCAGAATTCACCCTAAATTTCATGAAGAGTTTGAGCCTTCTTAAAAACCAATAGCTCAACAGTGTCCTTTGTGCTGACTCTTCCTTACACAGGCAACAATAAAGCAAAGGATAGGATTGAAACCTAGTCAGTTAATTCCAGTGGGGAGAGCTGGAGGGACAGGACTTTTGGCCTATTTGTGGAGTTTCTTTATGACTTGGCTCCACCAAGACCAGAGGTTTGGCTCCCATAGAACAGGTCATCTCCATGAATGCCCTGTGCCTTGAAACCAGCTCCCAGGCCCAAAACAAACACACTTGCTATTAAAGGGACATCTTTTAGAGCTATGTTACAAAGGGTCTTATAGCATAAGGCAGTTAACAAGTGTATTATTTAGATCATAGTAAGCATTACTATGAGTTAGAACTAGGTCCAAGTGACTGAACAGTAAGGCTTACTATGATCTGGGCAGGGCTGGAGCCAGCTATGTGGTTGACAAACAGCTGTTTGTCGGTCCAGCCCCTGTACTGCACAGCACTGTGCTGTGGCTGGGAACACCACATTTGTCATTATCATGTGACCTCTGTAGAGCAGTCCCACGATGGCTGAAAATGTATTACTTATTACCATGTGTACTCTTCTTGCTAAGAATACTAACTTTGATATGATATGGTGGCACTTACCATGTGGGTTATTGCCTGAGTGTGTGGACACTGGTGTTTTAAGTGTAGTTAACGCATCTTAACTGTAATGTACAACAAAGCCCTAAAACTTCCTGGTTCCTGATTCTAAAGGGAATCCACTCTGCAAAGGAGGGTGGAAATAAATGCAGAAAGAATCTGTGGTATTTTTCTGTTAGGAAGCACTTAACAGTACAATGCTTCTTGCTACTTGGGCTTCCTCACTATGAGAACCCTGAGCTAGGAGAGTCCCTAAAAGAGTTCAGAGAAAAGGGAAATGAGATGTTGCCCGAAAGGCAACTGATCCAACATTCACCAAGCAGATCAGGATGGAGGAGCAATAAGTAGGCAGGAATAAGACAATAACATGCTTGTTGAGAACTAGATCAGAACTATCCCTGCTCCCTATCCTTAGAGTATGCAGGCTAATGTATGTAAATAAAAAATAGCCCTGTAATAAGTGTGGGCAATTCCTGATGGGCTGTGGAGAGCTGGATAACCACATACTGTTGTCTTATTTACAAATGGACTCTGGAATATGATAAAAAAGCACTAAGTGCTATTAACATTTCATGTTGGCAGTTACTGGAGTGGTTAAAGAGACAATAAGTGATAAAGAATAGGTAAGGATGTGAACTTTTGTGTCTGATATGTCTATTAGACAAACCTTCCTTATGTAAAACTTAGAGAATTTTTAAGCACAAGGATCACACACTGGGTCCAGGCTCTACTTCAAAACCAGCTGTAAAAAACAACAATTATAACTACAGACAGCTCCTTAACCCTACTATAATTTCTGCAGATATTATACCCAACTGTAAGCTTTTATTGAAACAAGAAAAAATTGCTTATTTACCGCACGAGCCAAAATGGTAATTTTATTAGTAACAGTTTTACCTCCAAATCATGGAGAGTCTGACCCAACTCTGCAGCACCTGAAAGTAATTTTTCTGGGAATGATATCTATGATATCTAAAGTCTTAACCAAATTCCTCGTAGCAAAAAGTCTACAACATAAAACCCATCAAGCACACAGGCACCACTGGAAGATGCAGCAAAAGGCTACAGCTTGAATAGTTATGGAGACTGAACCATCCTTTCACTAGGGGTAGGCAAAGTCCAGATACCTGCTCCTGCAAAGGATCACATGGTAATTAGCCCCCCCCCCCCGCCCCCCTTCCACTCTTGACTGGAATCCAGTGATCTTGTCACAAGTCCTGGGATCCACCAAAAATTTATATGCAGGTGAGGCACCAAACAACCTGGTCCAGATCCACCTCATGGAGGGCAGAACAACCCTAATCATAAAGGACAGGGTAAGAAAGAGGCAACAAAGGGATTCTGAGTGAACCTTTTCGTGATGTTTGCTAGGCATTTGAGGCTGGTGAAGAAACAGAAATCATTGGAAATTGGAAAGAAAAGTGCAGCTCAGCTGTGGGAGTGAAGAGGAAGCCTAAATGTATTCAATGTAATGGCTCACCATGACTTGAAAAAAAGGTCGGTGCTGAGGGGACTGCTTGCAATGAGTGTTACTATGTATCTTGCGCAGATGGGCTATAGTAATCTATACTTATTGTAGGGTCCGATCAGTATATTTACCTAATGGGCCATGTATTTTATAGTCATATTTGATGCTGGCTCCATTTAATCAATTTTATAGATGGTTTCCATTACTGAGCACATGCCACTTTTGGCAGCAGCTTAATATAGACAATGTATTTAGTAAAGTTTCCTTGTATGCAAATGTAAAGCAAGGGGCTTTTCCTCCCATGCTGATTGGGGGTGGGAGGGAGGAAACCTTGTCTTTTTTTGTGTTAACACAGTAATAGTGCCTGAGGCGTAGCTGTCCTGGAAAGAGAGGACTTCAGTTTCTAGGACTTTCAAGCAAGAACCTTTAACTAAAATTCACCTTAAGTATATTTAAAGATGCATTTTAAAGCTCAGTTCATAATTAGTTCCTTTTTTTTTCTTCAATATTTACACTCATTCTCGCATCATGATTCATTGGTTTCATAAGTTTCCATCATGGGAACTGGGTTTTGGTATGTATATGTTCTTCCTCTATGTTTCTATTTTCTCTGCTGTTCCAGGGGAAGTGGAATTGTACAAACAAATTGAGGAACTAGCTGTGGTAAAAAGTAGTGTTATATTTATCTATAGATTAAGACAGACACTGTTGTGATGATGTTGGCTCACACTTCCCTGTCTAGAGTATTTACAGACTTTGGCACTACACAACTTGTCATTTCAGATATTATCAGTCCTCCTACCCAGTGACAGTACACAATGCTATAAAACAAGCTCTCCAATCCTGCCCTTCCAGGATCAAATACTATGATAATTATATTACTACACCATGCTTACAAGAACCTTTCACTTGATCAGAAATGCTCAAATAGTTAATAACCAAGAGCTATATTTGCAATGTATCTGGTGGCCAGATACAGAAATTCAGTTGTACAGAAAGCAAAATGTTTACTATTAAAATGGCCATTAAAAGAAGCCTACTTCCTTTCTAATATGTAGGTGGTCTCTCTTATTGACTGTCAGCTTTACTATCATTTATATTACAGTAACAGTTAAAGGCCTCAGCTGAGATCAAGGTCCCAGTCTGCTTGAAAGCTGTACATGTACACACTCACAGGCAGATCTTATACTCTAAATAGCTCGACAGACAAAGGAATGACAGGGACAGAGAGTCCTGCAGCATGTCTAGCTGGGGTAAGAATGCTAGTTTTCAGGTTCCAGTTTGATATTCTATTGAATGGATTACGCCAGGTAGAATTACAATAGCTAACAATAACTTCCTCAAAGATCACTATGAAGCCTGTGCAAATTAAAGAATGAATATAACAATCTATAATGGTTTGATCATTTTAGACTGAGCGTAAGATGACAGAAGGTTGAAGGTACACAAGATCCAAATTAATATATGGGAATAAGAAAAGACAATGGGGAATTGAAATATATTACCCAAAGTTGCATAAAGTCTTACCATGAAGTCTATATTGTTGTCTTCATTTCGGAAATGTTCCATCAGCTTCTCAAAGCGCTGTTTCTCCCCACAAACCTGTAAAAATAAGCATATGGTGTGTCTATTATATAACCACCCACTAGAGGGAGAGCTAAAAAACGCAAAAACCAAGCTTATAGGTTAATTCACAACCTTTAACCCACCAACTGTCTTTTCTAGACCACTTTTTTCATGGAAAGTCTTGAAGCATTGTCTGATCCCTCAAATTATGGCCATCACTCATGCTGCCTATCTACAAGATAAGAACTTGAGTTTTGTTATTAAAGAATGCGCCTTGTCCTTTAAATATCTATCTGTCTATAAATCTCATCCTCAACTGGCGTACCCTGAAAGCAAAGGGACCAGCCACAGATCCAGTCCTCTATCCAATTTCATCTTCAATATATCTGAGTCCAACATGAAGCTGTAGGTTATGTTACCAGGTAACATATGTACTTTATGTTACGAAGTAAAAACCAATGAAAATGAGCAGGGACCAAATTCAGAGGGTCTATATTTCAAACACTGGTATAGAAGTCGGTGTGAATTTTCCTGGCAAAAGGTCAGACCAATGTGGTGTTTAGCAAGAAAAGCAATCAACTAGATGGAGAAATAAGATCTAAGGTAAAACAGAGGCCAGTACTTTATTTTACCATACCTCTTTACATTGGAAAATATACACCGAATGAAATATTTTCTTCTCAAAATGGCCTGCATTTTAAATATGTGCCAAAAACAGTTAAAAGCTCTTCCATACACCTTGGTAAACATGCCTTTATTTGCTTTTTTTCCTTTAGAGTCAGAAAATGTGTGTGCATCTTAAATTCAAGGGCACCTTAAATTCAAAGGCATGTGGGTTCCTTTATATCACTTCCTACTAGCTTTTCCATTTTCATCTCACTCTTTTGCCTCTTAAGAGCCTAAAGAGCCTTATTTGTACCTAATGGCACCAGAGTTGTAACATGTTAAACTGGAGCGTAGATAGTGGAGGAATATGTCTTGTTCCTTCCCAGCAGCTCCCCCGCCCCTACAATCACTCAGTGGGCATGTCTACACATGCATATTAATACGATTCAATAAACTCCAGTACTTATTGCTTATTGCTCACTGGCGCCATGTTTACACATGTGCCTGGCACCGCATCATGTTGAGCCGGGTCAGAGCAGCCCTGGCTGGCAAAGGGCTCAGGGGGTCAGCCTGCCAACTTGGGGCTGCTGCAGCCTGGTTCAAGGTGTCACAGAGGGGCTAGCTGAAGCACAAGGGTGCTTCAGTGCAGGGCTAGGCAGCAGGCAACCCCTGCACTGAACCACCCTCATGCCCCAGCCAGCCAGGGCAGTGTCTATAGAGGAGTTGCTGCAGAGTAAAGAACTCCGTAGCAGGGTAGCTGCAGAACTTATTAGTTTACTCCAGCCTAATAGCCCTGCTTATGTAGATGCTGAGACATTTACTGTGGAGCTAATGAGTCTACTCCACAGTAGAAGTCTCATGTAGATGCACCCAGTGACTGCACCACTATTAACACTGGGCATATCTACACATGAGCTTTAATGAGCATATAATAAGCTTATTTTACTGTACATTAAAGAATCACATAAAAACCGTGCAATTACACTAACGTGCAGTAATATAGGCTACTGTGCATTAAGCATCACTTAAGAAACATGCACTTTCAGTACTGAACATTAGGGCAGCCTAATGCATATTTATTTAGTACCTCACACTGGAGGTACTAAATTTAATGCGTATGAGGAAAAGTGCATTAATGCACATGTAGATGCACCCACTAACGTGTGATTTAGGCCACCATTTATATTCTTTCAAAAGGAAGACATGAATTTCCCGGTTTCTTTGTGCCGGGACACACAAGATAATTAGACACACAAGATCATTTAAATGGGACACACAAGATAATAATTCTCCTAAAAGACTCATGAGCCTTTATATACTGAAAGGGAATCCTGACTAAGCAAGACCATGTGCAATTCCTTTACTTGTGCCTCTCCTGTTTCACAGTGGAGCCCTTTTCAAGCTCATAAATTCTTTACACAGAACCTCTTCTCAGTGAGCAGATGGTCACTTTGACCTCAACTGCAGTTTGCATCCTGGGATGCATAGAATCAAGCAAAGACTTTCATTTTATTAATTCACTGCACTCCATTAGCTCTGAGCTTACTCAAGGGCAAATCTTGCCTCTTACCCTGTAGAAATGGAGGAACTTAGGTCCTCTGCTGCAATGGAGGAAAACTGTGGAGCAGAATTTGGTGAGGCCATCTCAGGGTCAGCATCCCTTAGGTGGCACGGAAATTCACCTTCGTGAAAATGGCAAGATGAGTGTAAGAGGTATGTAGAACTTGGGCTGGCACTCACGGGGATGAATTGAACCAAAATAAATTGCAGGTTCAGTAGCAGCTCACAAGCCCACTAACAGACACCCCTGCAAAGTCCCTTTGAGGTTAATGAGACCCCCAGCTAGAGTAGGGTCTGCATTTATAGAAACCTTTGCAGAATTAGGCCTAAAATCAGAGGAGGGTCTCCGAGCTCCATTAGAATGATGAATACAGAGGTTAGGAGCTACTGCCTTAAAGCACTTCTGAGTAACATATGTTCCAAGTAAAACAGCCTAGAGTCAGATTATGAATAGAACAGAACAAAGTAACAGTGATTTAAAATAATCTAAGATTCTCAGCATAAAATCCATGCTATCAATTTGGGCAATTATAATGATCTAACAATTACATAATAAATACCTAAATAATATCAATATATAATTTACCAACACATTGACATTTATTTGAGAAGAAAGGGGAAAAAGAAACCCCTGTATCTGTTTGCACATGGAACACAACTTGAAGACCTATTTATTATTAAGGGTAATTGTTTCCAGTTGATAACCACGTTTGATGTTCTTCAGCACATTGCTATTTTTTAGCTCTGTCTCCTTACGTATGTCAAGGCTTTTAAAAGTCTCACATGTGATATCATTATAATCCAGGAAACTAGATGTTAAGCTAATAATGTTTCACTTTGCCTGTGGACTGCATTTTTAAATGGGATCTCAGCTCGGCTGCTAATTTTTGCACCTGCCTAGCTTCCCCAAATTACAACTTACGTTCAAATGTGACTATTAACCAAACAATTTTCAGTGAAAATATCGCCTTCACAGATGTAGATTCTATGCCGAAATTTATCATAGGTACACTCTATCATGTGCACATAAAAGAGTAGTGCAGACACAAACTTGAAGGCTGTATTTGAAAATAATGGCCTATTGTACATATGTACATCAAAACTGCATTCCTTGTTTTGAAGCATTTCATACTGTAGAATGAGAAATGCCTTAGGTCAAGTTCTGCTGTCAGATGTTAGTGTGGGTTTCGCACTAATGAAGTCAAAGTCAGCCCAGTATTTCCCAAATCTAAGAAGAACATTTTCCTGATGGATTAAACCTTGAGCTCACTTCTACTGTCCTTGAATTCAATGTCACATTCACCCCACGATTTCAATGAAAGCAGAAACTTCTACTCCATTATGGTTGCTTGAATATTACCAGGGCTATGTATATCCAAGTCGATATTCACATCTAGGGTACTGCAGTGTTGAATTATGTTCTTGACTGCACAATCCTCAGAAAGAGGCTGCTTACACAGGTATGAACAACTGGTGCCTCCCAAGACTGGGGGGCACCATGGTGGCATGCAGGGACTGCCCACAGCTGCTAGCATCGGTGTTGGTGGCGGGGAGTAGAGTGCCCGCAGATGCTGCTACTCATGTTGGCAGTGAGTGGGGGCAGATAGTGAGCAGCAACCACCAGCAGAAGCTGGTGGCGGCACATGCCCCCCTATGTGCACAGAAGGGGGGCACATGCCCCCCTATGTGTACAAGAAAGGTGGCCATTGGGGCTAGGTACAGACATTCAAAAAGCCCAAGGCAGAATCCATCATCCACGTTATGCAGTTTTCTGTCAATAGCATAGGTTAGATTGGTAGTAAAGAGAGCACACATTTGCGCTGTGGAGCAGGGAGGAGGGGGCACCGGCGGGGGAGAATCTTAGACTAGATTCTGCCATTTTTAAATCAGTCTATGTGTGCTGCATGTGTGTTCTCTTATAGGTATAGATCAGTTTTGTATGCCAAACTCTTGTTCTGTCACAGGTATAGACCAATTTCCAAACGTTTACATGGGTAAAAGTGTAGTGCCTGTACCTGGTATTTGAGTATGACTGGCAGAAGCTTTACTGCTGGGAAGAGGCCAGGAGAGCAATACAAAGGTGCTGATCCTCTGCAGGAATAAACTATTCCTTCCTTGTGGAACTCATGGTCTCTGAGGTCTACAGACTACACCTCTTCCCTCACCAGTTCCTAGCTTCAAGTGAGGCCCAGCAGGGGACTATGAGAGGCAATGCAGGTAACTCAAGACTTTATGAGGAGCCCTGTGTGTTCTTCCTTAAAGTCCCAATTCCAGGAATTTAAAAAATCTGAGCTTTTGTTATAAGAAATTTATTTTTCTGTCTCTTGGTTGTGCAGAAAAGTGACATAAATGCAAACCTAAGCCTTAAATACCGGAAGACCAAGAAAAATCACCCAGAATGAGACAAAGATTTTTTGGTGATATCATCTATTGGACTAACTATATATTTATTCCAATAAAATATATCACCAAAAAATCCTTTGCTGTAATATATTACCTGGAACATCACAACTACATCATCACTACAACCCCAGAACATATGGGTGTTTTTAATCTCAATATTTTAAGCAATTTGTAGTACTGGAGAGGTTACATTCTCCTTGGCTCTCTGTCATCCCCTAGACTTCTCACCAAGATGGCATACAACAGCTATCAGCCATTCCAAGGTCTGTCCTACCCACCCCATCCTATACCATTTCTTCTTTTCTTTTCACTCTTTCTTTAGCCTGTGTTCTCTCTAAGTCAAAGCCCACTCCTTGGATGCAGCAGTGCAGTCCCTAGTGTAACTGGACTCTAATCTTGGCTGGTCACACTGGGGTTAATGTCATGTAAATATTTAAGTCATCACAAGTTTGATAAAGTTTTAAGAA